ATCCGGACCGAGCGATCGGTTGAGGCCAAGATTTGTGTCAAAAGATGGATGCAATCGGCAAACCAAAGATCACCACGGAAACCCAAAGACTACCATTTTTAGACTCCATGTCAATTGTGGGAATGCCGCGAAATCGGTGTCTTCTCTACTTGACGCTTGAATTGAGGCGAAGTTGCTTGGGGATTTGGCTCGAACGAAACCCTCTCGTGTGCGTGTCAGGTCTTTAAACCTTTGAGGTTGCATCGGGTACCACCAGAAAGTCGCTTGGGAAAGAAGGAACATGACCTACCCTCCCACCAATGAACATGACAACAGACAGGGGGGGTGCTGAAAGACCATTTTCCCTTCAAAGGCATCCCGAACGTCAGGTTCCACGTGAATTGGTGGGAGGAGAAGTCCCCTGAACGGAACCTACCACTCTGGGGCTTGATTCCAACCCATTCTTGTTGAAAACCCATCCATCCGTTTTCCCTCTGTAAAACCGGAGGTTTTCCAGACACGGATCAAGCACCAGATCCGTTTGGCCAGAAGGATCCCTGGAAATGGACCAAGGCACCCCACTGTGGACGAAGTCCATTTCGCACCACCGTTCAGAACCCCTGAAATCTTGAGATTTGTTCTGTCAATGCCAACAAACCACATGGTTTCATTCCCATGGTTTCATTTCGTGGTGCCTAGGCGGATGTCGCAACCATGCTAGAACCACCCCGTCGCAAAGTCGCTTGCAGTCCGCGTGACGAACAACATGGTTGTTGTTGGGAAACATTTTCTCCATTTTTGCTTATGGTGGTTTAGTGGTTGAAATCCAACCGCTTCACTGCTAAAATTGAAAACTTTGTGCTCCCCTTCCAACGTCAACCAAGCAAGTAGTTTGTTAAAGGGTGGGCGAAGTATGAAACTTCTTCTGGGGGGCCAAGGGGGTTAGGCATTGTGGCACGTTTATTTCCAGTTGCCAGTTGCTGTGAGTGGCCAAGGGAAGCCCGCAAAAAAGTGGTCAATCACTGCTAAAACTAAAAGGTGTAGTTGGAAATTACAACTAAACCGGGCTAACATTGAAAACACAATTTGCTCCCTTCCAACGTCAACCAAGTCAGGCCATTTTTCCTTTTGCAGGTCCTTTTTTCTGCGAGGTGAGGTCCCCTTCCAACGTCAAGACGATCCGCAGGAGGAGCGGAGGCCTTTGCCCCCCCCGGAGAAGAGCCTCATGAAGACGGAGCAGGCCACGTGAGCTGCGATCTCGGGGGAAGGAACCGGTTTGGGCGTCCCGAAGAAAGGAAAAACCGCCAGTCGGATGGTTTAGAAAGGGTTCATGGGATTTTTGTTGGCCACGGACCCCAATGGGACCCTCTTTATAATGTTGGAGTCTCTTTTCCCCTATATATCGGGTCCGTTGTGGGCACAGTTGCTGCAATAGAGGGTACTATTACTAAAGGAGGTCTAACATTAAAGAAAACCACCAGTTGGATGGTTTGTAGGGTTCATGGGATTCCTTTAAGGGAAACCACCAGTTGGATGGTTTTTATAGGGCTCATTCCCGAAAATTCTCGGCTGAGCAGCATAGGGCGGTTGGTCCTTTTGGCCTCTATGATAAGCCCCAGATCAATCTCCCGGTCCAGAATTGGCTTGAAGGAGCAGGAAGAAACCTGGCGAGAAGGGTCCAGTTGGTTGTTCTTTTTGTTTTTTTCCATTGGACCCCGTGCTTTCATGGGTCAGTTGCCCATCCAAGAGTTCATTAAATCGCCCCACCCTGTCCCTAGTCAACAGTTCGGCAAATGCTGTGTGTGTCAGCTGTCAAAGAAGAAGAAGAAGAAGAAGAAGAAGCCAAAGAAGAAGAAGAAGGAGGAGAAGAAGAAGAAGGAAGAAAAGAAGAAGAAGAAGAAGAAGACGAAGAAGAGGAAGGAAAAGAAGAAGCAGAAAACCGCAAGTCAACAACTTCTCAATGCATGCAGTCAGAGATGCGAACATTCGGAGGGTCCAAACAAACATCGGGGTTCCCGAGCAACCCATGAGAGATACCTCAGATAGGTGGTTTTATGAATTCGATCCGATACAAGAACGGTTCAGAGGCTAGTGTCATACTGTGGTTGGACGAAATCCACTTATAAAGCACCACTTTGGATCCATGGGAATGAAACCATATGGTTTGTTGGTATGTATAGGGAATCATCATGCCAGGGTTTCTGAACGGTGGTGCGAAATGGACTTCGCAACCATCCACAGTAGAGCCCGTGGGCCAAGTTTGGTTGCACATAGGTGTGTAAGAATCCTAAGAAGTGATCACAAGCGCAGCAAGCGTGGGAAGAGCTTTTGTACGCGCTATGCATAGATCGGTGTCCTACATCAGGCTCGATCCACGAATGGCAGCAGGATTGCGCATATGTGAAGTGTTGAAGCAACACACAACTCCGATTGGGGTACACTAATTTGGAGAACTTCAACTAAATGGAGCCCTGATGAACCCCGTCTTTTGCACAAATCACAACAAAGTGGTAAAACAAGCTCTGGTTTTTTGAGGTACTGTTTATTGGACGATTGTTGCTTATAACGCATAGGGGTTGGCTATAAACAAAGAACTTAGGCAACATTGCAGCGATTGTTGGTGAAGTGTGGTGTGCCAAGCGTTTGTGGACACGATTCAAGCATTTTTTAAGCTCGCAAGCTGGCTCAGACAAGTAGAGGCTAATGTGCAAACACATAGGCACGAACGCGCCGGACAAGGCAGCTGCAAAATAAATGCGCATTTTTATGTGGTGTGCCAGTAGGATTTGCTTGCGGGGTGAGATCCGGTTGTTTTGGTGTGAGCGACGTGCCAGGCGGTGGGGTGAGATGTGGTTCCGTGTGAAACGACGCTGGGTCGTACTCCTAGAACTGGGTAGTTTTTTCCTTTGGCATTCTTAAAGCAAGCCCATTGCCAGGGTCACCCCGACACCGCGGTTCCATGTAATGTTGGGCCCAGGTAAACCCCCGAGGTTCGGAGACTTCGCCGGGGTTTGGGCGTCAAAAACTGCGTGGGGACGGCAGCCGCCGCCAGGAGTTTCTGGCCAAGTTCGGGGCTCGCCTGGGCGCGGCAGCCCGGTGGTGCTGGGAAGGGAGGGGATCTTTGTGCCTATTTAGCTGTGGTGGTCAGAAATAGGGAAACCCCAAAGTGGGTTGAACCCTGGTAAATGGACACATGGACTAAAACCTGCAGTCCATACCCTGGTGGCTTAATCTTGACCCCATATCCATTTGCTGGCGGGTTCCTAAGGGTTCCGGGGCTGTTGGGGATACCACCTCAGCTTATTTGTTTCTCCAGGCGCTGGTTTTGAGGGTTCAGGGCATGAGACGTCCACACGAGATGTCGCCTTGGGACGCACCCACATCTAAAACAAAGAAACCAAGGGCTCCTACTGGTGACAGAACCGCATGAGTCATTTGAGACATATATGACTCTTTAAGTGACCTAGGTTACACTCACCGAATTCCCAACAGAGATCGGGATCCCATGGAGCAGTCAACTGTGAGCCCCAAGATGTGAATCATTGAGGGTCATTGTTTCTGGGCAGGCCAGAAGAGCTGGAGCTTCTTGTTTGGCGTTTGCTTACTTCCCAAGCTGCGGAGCTCATGCAACATGCGACGAACAGCACGGCTTTCTCGGCAAATCCGCCTGGCCGCGACTTTGCGAATCGCTAGAAATCCCTAGAGTTGCCAGAGTGTCTCCTGTTTTGAGGGTTTCCCTTTTTTGGTAGGTGTTCAAGGGACACAAGATGACACAGGACATCCATTTTGGGGTTTCCAACCATGGGCCCAATCCGCCTTTCTGAGGCGAGAAGAAATGGCAAGAAGCCGAGCACTTGGAGGAGACGGTGTCCGATTTTTCTCTGAGTTGTTTCGGTTTTTCGGCGAATCAAATGGCAACAAAAATCCGGAGAAGTGTTGAAATGGATTGTTGACCGCATTGTAAAGGGGGGAGGGGTTCCGAGGTTTCCTAGCAAAGAGCCGTTTTGCTGAAACGGAAAGGATGGGTTACCGACGCTTAAGGGAGTCTTGAGAGCATAGGATGCTCTTGAAGCATTCAAACCACCCAACAGGTCTGGGGGTTGATTCCTTTTCCATTCTTTTCAAGCCTCGTTCTACCAAAAGCCGGATCCGTCTTCCCTGGGTTCCCGGAGGTTTTCTAATTCGGATCCCGGGAAGGAATGGAATTGGAAGGCCCTGGGGCAGGAGTTTTTCGTTCGAATGTCTCAAGCTTGAGAAGGTACCCCCAGAACTGGGGATTTTGAACCGAGGGAAAAGCCGAGCTCCAGCTGTTCAAAAGATGGGTTCGAAGGGCTGTGGGTCAAAATTAAACAGGAGGGGCAAGCCGCAGGTTTTAGGTCTTGGTCCATGTTTCCACTGACCGATCGGGTTCCATTGTGGAATTCCTTTTTTTTGAGCCACAGCCGTCTCGGCCGGGACCAAGAGCTCCCAGTGGCTTTGATCAAGCGGGTTTCTTTGGCGAGTTTTTTGCCAAGGGATGTTGGGACTGAACAACTTTTGCCAACGAATGGATGTTTTTGTTTTTTTCCCCATTAAATTGCTTTCCCATCATTAAACCACTAAAAGTTATTCGCTTTTGGCAGGGGAGCAGAAAGCAGCCGAGGTTTGACGCGCATCTGCTCAGGTAGCCCTTAATAGCTGGTTTGGATTGTTTTGGAAATTTGAACTGGTCCTTGGTTCTTGCAGATGGCAAAATTGGAAACCCCCGAACCATCAAAGGCACCAATCCAAAGCACCAATTAGTGGGAAGCTGATTTGTTTCAGGTCTTCGCAATTGCCTTCCGCGAAGTTTGGATGTTGAAGGTGGCTGTGGCTAGAAGAATGGAACCCAACGTGGCACCCTGGCGAATGGAAACCTTAAGACCAACACCTGCGCAACCCTAACTTTCAATTTTGAGCCAGATGTTGCCCTGACTGGTTTGCTTCTGGTTCGAAACAAAACCAGAGCGAAGGAGCGGAGGTTCGGCGCTGACGGTGGCAAGCGGCCGCCTTATCTTGAGAGCGCAGGTGGCTCCGAGCACAGGGATTCTCCGAACACAATGACCAACGCACCAGTGTGTAACAACAAAGAAAAACAACAATGCACAGGTATCCTTACTTGAGGTTTATGCACATTCTTGGGAATCAATGGCCTGTGTTCTGTAAGGCTTGACGAAATAATTGCGAGGGAGCATGGCGTGATCATGAATGTCAGCACTGAACCCACAAGCATGTGCAAATCTCCCAAAGTATAGTTCACCAATATGTCACCATTGGCAAGAAACAAACCGCTGCCTGGGTGAGCATCCGAGCAGGCTTTGAGAATGTGTTGAATATGCTTCTGAATGCTCGACTCGGCATCCTTGACGAAAGCCGTGCAAAAGCCGTGCTCTCACTTGGACATTCGCACCCATGAACCTAAGAGTCAAAGGGTCGTGTGCGCAAACAGTTGAGAGTTTTGGGGCACTGTGTACCCTGGATGTTCTTTTCACGACCCTGTAAAGGTCCCCTCCGCCCCATGTTGTGGTACGCCCCCTTCTTGTTGGCGGCTTCCAATGTGGCAAGAAGCTCATGCTTCTAGGGCTACCTTCCCCATTCTTTCCAGGCATCCCTTTTTCTAGAAAACCCCCAGACACCCAGGGAAAACGGATCCGGTGTCGAAAAGAACGAGGGTGGAACAGAATGGAACAGGAATCAGCCCCTAGAATGCCAAGCCCACGCCAGGGAGACCGGAGGCGTCGTTTCTCCCCCCATGGCTTTCACGGCTTTGGGGTTGGCAGAGCACGCCACAGCACGCCACGAGCCGCCGAATCGAGGTTTTTGAGAGAAGTTCCTGGTTCAAGGGGACATGTGTGTGTGTGTGTGTGTGTGTGTGTGTTTGCACCTCCAAGATGGGCATGTTTTTTTTTTTTCTCTTGGACTCCTTGAAGAACACTTCCAGTCCAGTCTTTTATTTTTGTTGGGGGCACCCTCAAAAACAAAAGGCGCCTTTTGTTTGAGTCCCAGCTTTTTTGGGGGGGCGCCCTCCGAAAAATCTGCCCCCCTTTTGTTCTTTGACCCGGAAGCGCCTGCCTTTTGGGGCGCTTTCCTGAGGCTCCCGATGGATGTAGGCCCCAAACACCTCCGGGGTGTATGGAGGTAAGCCCCAGGCGCCCAGGAGCCTCTGGCTTGGAGTGGCCAGCTTTCTTGGGGCCTCCAAAAAGTGGAGTCATAGGGTGTCCCGTTTTGGTGGGTTTTGCTGGACAAATCGAGGGCGATTCCTGGTTTTTGTTCCTGGTGGTTTCATCATCTGCCAGGGAAACCCATCTATTTCCCCTGAAAGGACACCCATGAAAGTGCTCCTTTTTCCTATTTGGCCCCCCCTTTCGGGGCGTTATTTTTTTTGAAATGGATGTCTTCCCTTCTGAGGTACACGGCCGGGCAGTGGGCGGACGCCTTCGGGAACAGCAGCGAGGCCTGGCAGGCGGCGCGGCACGCGGACGCCGCGAAGATGATAGCGCGGAGACCCAGACCCGCAGGGGCCTTCGTAGCTCTGCTTTCTTGTTCTCCCAGCTGGAATCAGGGAACTTCCTTGGGTTCGGATTTCGAAGCTTTGTGGCTTTGTGGCTTTTTTCCCCAACGGCTGGACAATCAGGTCACTTCCTTTCGAATTTTGGATTTGGATTTGAACTCCCCCGTATCTCTGGAGCGTCCCGACCATAATTTGGAGGGGCGCAGGATCTTTCGTCCCCTTGAGTACCTAGGACTACGGCTCCATGGGCTAGGAATGGTGGATTCAACCAACATAGGCAGCAGGGGAACCAGTTACAAACCCTGCAGTTCCAACCGGTTTTGGTGGTCCCCTAGCACGTGGAAACCGAAAGGGTCGAAAGGGTCTACTTGAAGAGCAACTATGGTCGTTGGTGGTGCTCAACAGAGAAACAGGTCCCTCACTTTTGGAAGGGTCCACAAAGCTCTGCTTGCTGTTGCCATTCAAGAGGGTCTTCTAAAGAAGGTGCACTGTTTGGGCGGTTCAGCATGTCTACGAAAGGCTTTTGGGAAGCCAATGATTGGTAACCTTTTTCCTAAACCAAGCCATGTTAGAAACCAAACCTTTCAGTGTTGCTTATGGCGCTGTGCGCACTGAATGGTGATTTTTTTCCATTTGCCCAGGGCTCAACAGAACACGACATGTTCTTCACCCCTCCCATGCCCTTCCAACCCCCTCCCCCCTCCCCCCCGGTTCGCAGGAAACCAACTGAGCCACTTGCTCAAAATTTGGGTAGATGAGGTTAGGGACAATCCCCAGGCCTGGAACGCGTGTTCTGGGTAGACATGGGTAGACCATTTTAGTACATCCCCTTAGGTTTGACATTTTTATTTCATTGGTTGGATTTCCATTCAACCCACTACCGCCCAGTTGCGAGTTGGATCTATGGCAATGTGTTCATATTCGCAGATGCTGCAATATCTCCCTGGGATAGAACAAGCCCACCACATGAAGTTCCTGGCATGATTGTAACAAATGCACATGCAGTGATTCTTTTAACAAACTCAGATGGGGAGAGTAAATAGCCTTGCGATAAGGCAGTGGCTCAAAAATATGTACCAAAATGGCACCTTGGTAAATGAAGTAGACTTAAACCTCCGGTTTGCCCTAGCTCTCTAAATTTGAGCCACACCCATAAAGTGCTTGTTAGGTTAGCTTGCTTAGAAATGGATGGCACTGGTTTAGTTGGGATTGTTTCCATTTACCAGGGGGACCCATCTATTTTTCCAAAAGGCCACCTATGGAAACAACCCATGGGGATAAAGGACCAGCTGCTTCTTGGGACCCCACATGGGTCCTACGCCTTTGACAGAAAAAAGGTTGGCCATACGGGCAAATACGGGCAACTACGGGCAACTACGGGGTGTGGAAAAGAAGCAACCTGGCGATAATTGGATCCTTTCTAATGGCAGTTTACAGTTTCTGGCCCATGTTGGTTAAGCAACGTAGCAGCCAGCTGGGGAAGCCCACACCCATATGGGAACCCCCACAAAAATGAGCAACCCATACGGAAACCTGTCTCAAAATAGGGTTGACCAGCTTCACACCCGTGACTCTTTTTTGGATCACACGCCTTTGACCGAGAGAAAAGAGGCTATCCGGCCAAATAGGTCTGGGAGGAAGCTTCACCTGTGACTCATTCTCCATGGGATTTTCGCAGCGAATTCAGCAACCCATATGGAAACCCTCTCAAAACAAGAATGGCAGTGGGTCAAACGTAGGCACCCAAAATGGAACCCCCGTGAAATAGAGCATGGGACTACCTGCGGGGTTGTTTGGTGGTTCAATTTGGACCCATACCCACATGGACCGGCTGCTTCACCCCGTCTCGCGCCTCTCCCGCGCCTCTTTTTCTCGCGCCTTCGCGCCTCGCTCGCGAGAGGAGCTGGACCTGGGCTTCCACGAGGAGGCCAACGAGGACGCGGTGAGGCAGGCGGACGCGCGGGCCCGGAAGCTGGACCAGGCCCGCTTCGCCGGACGCCTTTGCCGCCGGACGGACGCCCAAACCCTCCCGGGCCGGTTCCTCGCGGGAGTTCGGGTTTTGGGGGCGTGGGAGTCGGATTTCATGCGAAACGCCCTGGGAAAGGGCCGGGGGACGGGCGGAATTTTAGGGGAAACACCTGGGGCCCGGACGGACGGACTTAGGGCAGCCCCGGGCCTCCTGGGTCCGGAAATTAGCGCGTGGGATCCAAGGAAAAACGGGGAAAAGGAACGGTTTGATGTGGATGTGCTCGAAGTTTATGGGAATGGGGCCGTGTTTCTCACAATGAGCCCTGCAAGGTGGCGGATTTTTCCCTCCCTTGTCCGTTAGTCGAGAGAATGCCATGGGGTGTTTTTCAGAGGAACCTCTTTTCCATGGTTGGTTTTTGAACCGGGGAGTGACAAATGCCATAACACATGGAGGGGGTTCTCAGAATGACCCCTGAAGATGATAGTTGGAATCGATCAACACTGGAACTGAATGTTTATGTTGTTGGGGGGTCCAAATGGCGAGCCACATCGGGGAAAACTTGGCTTTTGCATTGATTCAGCCATGGTGGTGACCTGGTGGTGCAAAAAGACACGCGCAATGTAGGAAGCACGTTTTCCCATTAAAGGAGAAAGGTGGTGTTCAAACATGCGATGGGTTTTACTAAACAAAACACAATATGTTATGATAGAACATACATATCATTGAGTTTTTGTGGCATCTGAAGGGGTGCCATTGCTGCCAACTGGATCAGAACAATTTTCATTCCACAGGGATGGCAGCTTTGCGGGTAAGAACCGTTAAGTTCTCAGCGACTTTGCCAATTTGTTGAGAGCTTCGATTTGGTTGATGCACTTGGGCCATGTGCTGCCTTTGTCAAGCCAACCTTTGCAAGTCTTGATCCATTCGCAGGTGGCACATCTGGCCGGCCTTGAGGAATGAGCCACTCCGACCGCCCAGGGCAATGAGAGGGAACCCTGCACCCTTCAAAGTCCCAACCAACCCAAACAACAACTCGGATCGCCAGCATCCCCTGTGAGCAATCATGAGCAATCGGTAAAAAAAGTACCCGCCAGCTGCGGATGCGGATCTTTCCGCCCCTCCGTTGGTTCGAAATGGGGTTTTGGGACTGTTGGATCGGATGTTTTTGAATTTAGACATTGGGTTTTACCAGTCTATCATGGTTTCTTGCCATGGGTTTTACCCGTCTGTCATGGTTTCTTGCCATGAATTTCGGGTTGTACCTTCAACCCGTGTTACTTCTGGGGTTTTCACCCCCCCACCCAACACCCCCCGGCGCCCGGAGCTCGCTGCAGGAGACGGCGGAGGCCAAGCAGGCGGCCAAGGAGGCCAAGTCGTTGAGAGTCATCGAGGAGGAGGCGAAGAGGAAGGCCAAGGAGGCCAAAGAGGCCGGCGAGACCCATCCAGAAAATCCACCCAGAAAATCCACAGAGGGCAAGACTTAGAAAATCCCAGAAACCCAACCACCAACCCAGAAATCCGCCCACCAACACCCACCCAAGAATCAAAAGAAGAATCCCAGAAAACTCCAAGAATCAAAAGAAAAATCCGGCCCAAAATCCCAGAAGCCCCTCCAAAAAATACAAGAAAGATCCCCCCCAAAAATGGCAAGACCCACCCCACCCATCCAGAAACTCTCCCAGAAACCCATCCAAACATGAAAGCAAATCCCCAGAAACTCCCCCAAAAATGAAGAAAAGAGCCGGCCCAAAATGGCCCACTCAGAAACCCACCCAGCAACCCACCCAGCAACCCACCCACCCACCCACCCAGCCACCCAGCCACCCAGCCACCCAGCCACCCAGCCACCCACCCACCCAGCCAGCCAGCCAGCCACCCAGCCACCCAGCCACCCACCCACCCACCCACCCACCCCACCCACCCACCCACCCACCCACCCACCCCACCCACCCACCCCACCCCACCCCACCCACCCACCCCACCCCACCCACCCACCCACCCACCCACCCACCCACCCACCCACCCACCCACCCACCCACCCACCCACCCACCCACCCACCCACCCACCCACCCACCCAGAAACCCGCCCACCATCACCCACCCACTCAGAACCCCCCTAATTGGTTGAGGGCAGATAAAATGTTTGGTTACTTGTCTTGGCTCCACTCAGGAAGCGCGCCCACATGGGTTGCGTCCACAATTTGTTTCTTCAGCTTTTGTTTTTGGATTTACCGTGAAAATCAGCTACCAAAGAAGGTCACACGTTGTTCGTTTCCATGGGGGTACTTCACTGGCAGGGAAGAAGTTTGCAACGGCAAGCCCGAGCGAAGATTAGATGGCGCAATTCCCTTTTGTCGGTAAGGGTGATGTTCAAACCACGAGACCATTGTGCGCTTTCAGCCGACTGTTGTCTCTCAGATCTTTGGAGCACTTTACCAGAAACTTAGGACACACCTCACTAAAGGCATAGTTGTTGTTCATCGATTTTCGGGTCCCTGTGTGAAAGCGGGCACGCCGTTTTGTTTCACTCGAGCTGTTCATTGAACCCTGGCGTTTTTGCTACGAAAGAAGAGTTTGTGGAATGATTACAGGGTACCTATAGATAGCCAAGTTGCGATCGCTCTTCTAGACACTTTGCCTGAACATCAGTTACAGTTGCTGGGAACAAACAGCCACTGATCCAGATAGTTGTTGTTGCAGCATTTCATTACCTTCGGGTTTTCTCGCGAAACCGACCCCCCCGCAATAGTTGCCCAGTGGATTCCGCCCTTGTTTCCTTTTTTGAGAAGGGTGTCCCTTTAAAGTCACCAAAAAAGGATGCCCTTTTTTTCCATGGCCACTGGGCATCTGGGCATTCATTCGAACTGCTCCATCCCAATTGGAAGAGTTTGCCCATTCGTATGAGCCGCTCGGGACAAACTCCCTCCCTGAGTTCCGTTTCGGACTTTAAAAGCACTCTTTGGGTTTGGACCACCATGTAAGTGGTAAACAAAGAATTTAAACATGATTCTTTGGGCCCTTTCTGCAATTTCTTTCTTCACTTTCTTCGGGTGTTGCCATTTTTGTGGTAGACAACAACTGGTCACGTCCTAACCCCCAGACCCCCGACCTGTAAACGGGAACCCTTCTGCTGCGCATTCGGGAAACAGCCGCTCGATCGGAAGTGAGCAAATCGGCATTCAGGCGCAAGCCGAGCTGGAGGCGGCGAGGAAGAAGCACGAGGTGGTCCATTCAGGCCACTCAGGAGACCGCTTTGTTCAGCTTCTGGTTTCAGCGCCCGTTAAAGGTGGGTGTGTGCTTTTAATAGGTTGAACACCACCCCAACATGGCGGTGTTCCTCTTCGTTTCCCTGCACAAAAACACCAAAAAGAAAGGTGCGCCCTCAAACATACATATATACTGTGGGTGGACAGAATCTTGCACCGCTTTGAAACCAAGGTTGAAACCATGACGTTCGTTGGATTGTGTTGCTGTTTCCTTTTTGGATGTTCTTTTTTCCCCAACAGCTGAAAGCTTTGGGGTCTCAGCCCAGATAGGCTCCGGGGTGGTCCGGGGCGGCCCGGAGGTAGGTTCCACGAGGGTTCCACCAGGGTTCCACATGCTGTTGGGGATATTACCTGAGCTTATTTTTTCTGGGGGGGGTTAAAAAGACTGAACATCAATTCTGATGGCTGTCGCTGTCAAAATGCAAAGTTCGATGAGTACGTGTCTTGACCAGAAGCTCAAGGGGAACTGTGATTTGACTTTGTTTGCGGGCAACACTCTGCTGCTGTGAAAGTAGCACTGGTGCAAGAAGGGCAGATGTAAACGAAAACATAGAATGTTGATTATTTCCCTCCGGCAGCCAACTTGTTTGTCTGGCTGGTTCTTGTTTGTTTCTTTTGTTTTGTTTGTTTTGTTTGTGTTGTTTTTGTTTGCTTGCTTGCTTGCTTGCTTGCTTGCTTGCTTGCTTGCTTGCTTGCTTGCTTGCTTGCTTGCTTGCTTGCTTGCTTGCTTGCTTGCTTGCTTGCTTGCTTGCTTGCT